AAGGTATGTATATTGTACTTATTATTCATCATACCTACAGTATATACATACATTAGTTCACATGTTGTGGCTGGATTTTCTTCATTCATTCAAATAGTTATCTGTCTGTTTTCCTACCTCATAGCCTCCAGTTTTACTAGAAATACTGAAACTGGCATATGAAATGCAAACCATTTGTACATTTTCAGTTGTAGAATGCAATGCAAACTCTTCACAAAACCCCAGAAATCTTGGATCTTATCCTTCCTCACACTCACCTTTGAGTTGAGCTTCAGTTTTAACCATCCTGGATACACTAGAGGGGGCCATTGGACTGCATATACTACCCACATTCAGTATTGTACTGTGGTAGATTTTCACTACAGCTTGTACATGTCTTGTGAAATAATACATTTCCTTAAACAACAAACAAGAAAACACATCATACTTCATACAATTAGGTAAAACTGTAATGCTTGAGAACACAACCTGAGTTTGATGAAGACACAAGTGAGCAAATGTTTCTTTCTACAACCGTTATAAAAAACTGAATCCATAGATATTCAAGGTTATCACGGTAATGGAAATTCACCACAATGAATTGTTTTGTGTTTATAATAGTGTCTTTTATTGCAATAATATCGTATATTTTCCCATTCCTAGTACAGAAACCTTTTTCATATGGCAGGGTTCATATACACGTCGCTGCTGATTGGTAACTCCTCTGTAAACCCACCAAACAAGAAAAAAGGTACTTCAAAGCCTTTTGCGCACAGTTTCAAGAAAACATGTCACTTAACCTGGAAAACAAAGCAAAATGATGCACAAAGTTTTCAGACTGAACATGCCCCTAGTTATATCTGAGTGCAAAGTTAAAGAAAATAGACCAGTTTTAGTTTCTAGAAAATATCTGAAGCAATCTAAGTATCTAAAGAAATCTTGTTCAGCTGCCTTTGATCTGGCACTTCTAGATATACAGTATGTGAATATACATTGAAAGTGTAAGATTCACATCGACTTGCATATTGTCGCTGTCCAGTGAGAACCATCTATCTCCAATATGCATCCATTTTATCATGAACATCTCTGACCGATGAGGATGAAGCAGAGCGTTGCCTACAGGTTGCTGTTGGAATGAGTCCAGTGGTAAACAATCGTCTTCAGTAAGGACAAAGACAGGTCATTAGAAGTGAAAGAGTGACACAGAATCATCATAAATCTCATTCTATAATACAACATACTAGTCTGGAACATCCACTCAGATTGTACTGAGCCTGGAAGCTAGATGCTATACCAATCAGCCAATTGTGTGGGGTTTGGCTTGATTGCTATACCCTTCCATGGTATTTGACACTTGGAGTATCCTTGAGATTACTAACAGCTGCAGACATACAGGATAATCTTATATTGCTACTATTGCAATATAGAAAATGTTCCGCTTTGGAGCTTTAAATTAACCATAGTGAGTGTAGGCCCAACATATACTGTAGGCTACTAGCATTAACACTGAGAGACATTCTCTTTCTGGCTGCCCAAAGAACTCCCCCAGGATTTGCTCCGGAGGTCAGCGATCAGCTGCCAACACCTCTCTGCCCTGACCTCAGCATCCACAGCAACAGCAGAACCCCAAGACACGTGACACCACTGAGCACACACACACACACACACACACACACAAAACCATTCACATTCAGCTCAAATGCATGTTCACACCTAAAATATGGCAACACACAGTGTGTACATATTTCACATATTTGCTTTCTTTCTCTTGCTATAGATGCGTAACTGTGTTGTATTTATATACCTTAATATTTACGTTATTTGTTCTCATTATATTGTTTAGCAATTTGGCCTAATCACATTGTAGGACCATTGTGTTTGATTTACTGACATCTAGTGGTGAAGTTGCAGAGTGCAACCATTTGAATACAGCTCAGCATTGCAAGCATGTAGAAGAAAGTACGGTAGCTGCAAAAAGGCCCAATGTTGAGACACTTACTATGTCCCCTATGTTTGCCTCAGATCGCTATATTCGGTATTTCTTGTAACGTTAAAATTGTCCCTTTTGATATGTTCGACTCTTTTGTTTGGCTCCACCCAGCTAACTGATGCCATGACCTTTTTTTCCCACAGGGATCATCGCAGTTGTACACAATGTGTGTAGCCTACTACAGTAAAGTAATGAGCTTACATCATACCATCATGAATCATAACTGTAGCAGATGGCAGCGTGTGTGTGCCACAGTCTGCTGTCCTGCTGGCTGTTGAGACACACACCAGTGAGGAAGATGCAGTGTGGTCGCGTCTCTTCACCAGCATCATTGACAACATGTCAGCCGGTTCCACTCACCATGCACTGTGCCACACCAACCCATTCAGCTGTCTGCTCCGCCTTCACACAGCTGCAGTCAGGTCTTGTGCATTCGGAGATTTGTGCGTTTGAGTGTGTGAGATCAAGCTTGTTCAAGGTCAGGTTTATTTTGTATGGTTTCTTTGTTTTGGGTGTTTGATGAATAGAAAATTCTATGTAATCTTAAAAATGTTGCGAGTTGTAAATATGGCTTTGAATTGTTTGCAGTGTGGTGTCAGTTGTCAGTGGTCCACCAGTTTGGGCTGGATTGAAATATCTCAAAACTATTGGATAGATTGCCATTTCATTTGTGCAGATATTCATGGTCCCCAGTGGATGAATCCCGATGAGCCCTTAATATCCTCTGACTTTTACTCCAATTGAAAATTTTATTAGCCCAATATTTTGGTTTACATCCAAATTCTTGGAAATCTTTTGACATTCTTACACTTGGTGTTTAGTGGTAATTTGTTAGTATGCCAGTTGACATAATAAACATTATACCTGCTTAATGCCATGCTGGTGGCATGTTAGCACTGTCATTGTGAGCATGTTAGCAGGGTGACATTAGCATTTACCTCAAAGTGGCTGAAATACAGCCTCATGGAGCTGCTGGTATGGCTGCTGACTGTTAGTTTTGTTAACCCTTAAATGGATTTTAAGTGGTTTTGTCCACATTAGAGACCTGTTGCTTGTGACAGAGATTCATCTAAAATTACTTAAAATTATTAACAGTATTCTAAACCAGAAAAGTTGGCTTTTATTTGTATTTTCCCAATCATTTATAGATTATAAGTGATTTATAGTTGGCTCCACAGCTCTCTGTGTGTGTCAGTGTTTTCTAATGTACGTGGTAAGTTAAAATCAAATGTAAAGCTAGAATGCTGTTACGTAACCCTTTATAAATTGAGCAGGAATACAAGTTTTGAAAACTGTCTGCCATTGGGTATTGGCTAGTTTCAGTTAGCAAAGCTAATCCCAGCTTAATCCCATTCAGAGTCACTGATTTGAGAAAGTCATTGATTGGCTCGACAGAAAAAAGCTTACGGCCAAGGGTTGATGATGATGTCCCTATTTTTTGAGCTGTCAGAGTCGCTGTCAGTGTCACCGGCTACCACTAACCTTTATCCATCTATGCTGTTGAGCCTGACACCACCGAGGATTATTTAGGAGAAGATGGGTATAAACAGGTCAGTCTCCACACCTACCCCAAAAGTTTGTGTTAAGAAGACAAGATTCGTTGTAAGATTGGTATTTTTGTTGTAGCTTTGAGACTGGTAAATTTTGATTGTACAATATACAAATATATTTAATGTCAACATACATATTGTTGTGACACATGGCTACTATCCCTGCTCAATGAAGTCACCAAACAAAAATGAGTTAGCACAGTAATAAGGAATAAATAGGGTTTAACTGAATAAAATAAATAAAATATTCTGCATTAATACTACTCATTCTGTGAGGAACTGCCTGTGGCTGAAATCCATCACCACTGATATTTTAATAAAACGCAAGGCTGCAGAGACTTTGCCTGCTTTGATGGTGTACCACCTTTTTCTACTTTGATAACTGATTCATATTTTTGAGGCTGAGCTCCCAGTTGGAACCCCCCCCCCTTGTTGTTTTTTTAATGTCCTCTTCATTCTTTTCCTCTTCATTAGGAATGAGGGTCACATACGGTATATCCTGAATCTCTTCTTCTGAATATAATTATTTCCCCTTATGGTAGCTCTACCTGCTTCCATTGACAGTGGAAAGAAAAAAGAACACATTTTGCGTATTAACAAATTACCACAGTCCTTGTCATTAGTGGTCCCATCCACATTTGCAAGGCTAATCCCTGAACTCATTGGGAACATTAGGTGTTGAAATGAACTCTGGTTCCATTATCAGTGTGACGCACGGTACCTGTTGAATCAGAGCTAGAACATGCTTTGACGCTTTTGCATCAGTTGCCATGTTACCTTTTATTTTATCATTGTCAGGGCTAGAGAAATTTTGGACAAGCAATCAAACAGAACATGATTGCAGATACACATATTCTTCTCTTGCTAATGTATTCATTGGAAAATAGATGGCTTAGTGTTTGTGCCATTCAGCTCGGTCCCAGTGGACTCTTTTTCACTTACATAACTGTATCCCCTCCGCATTATCTGTCAAATACAGTCCGTTTATGATTAGAAGTCACACAAACACACACAAAGACACACACTTTCCATGGCTGTTTGGTACATTCACCATCATTCCCTTGATCTTTAGCACAGCGTCATAAATAATGCTCAAAATAAACTCTATCATTTAACACTATCATTAAAGCTTTAATAACTGTCAATAATTAATTCCTGAGATTTAAACTGTTAATCAAATACTGTTTACTGGATCAAACTGACACATATACACAACATCAACTCGCCATTATTTACTATTTCAGTCATTTAGCTATAATTTTATACCTTTTTCCTACCTGTTTTTGCTAACCCAACCACGACACAGTCTTTTCAGTCAGAGGTCATAAATTTGCCAAAGGCCTATGGGTCATTATGCATTTATGACATGCTGACTGTTAAAGGTGATTGGCAGCTGGTGTGATTGGAGACAAGTATTATTTCAGTGGAGGAGAGGATCTTTGGGAAGGTTAGAGGAGCGCTTCTCCAGCCCGAACGCGGCCATGGAGTTGACAAGAGTGGCCATCTTGGTTCTGCTTGCATTTGGATCGTCTAGTGCCAAAGGTAAGACAAAAATCAATCGATGCCCACTCTTAGACGTGTATATTTGTCCTTATTATTATTGTTGAGCTATTACGTGCTTTTTTGGGAGGTTCCAACGTTGCAACCTTACCTCTGGAAACTTAAATCAAACTTAAATATGTTCAACTCATTTAGGATCTGGGCTTCTGTTCAGATGTTTGCTAACTTTCATACTTGTTGAAATATTCTATTCTTTTTTTCTGCTTTGAAAGCTCAAACCCTGGAAATTTCACCCATTTTTGAATCTTGTCGACTCCTCTTTAAACCTTTCAAACTAAGTCATACTTTCAGCTTGAAACTTTAACCCATTATCACCAATTGCACTTAGTTTAGTATTCAGCTTTTTCATACCTTGTATAGTTTTTCGAAGAGCTCAGTGTCTCTATGTCTAATTAACTTACATTTTTACTGACTGCTTTGACTAGTTAAACGTCAACTGACACTTGAACTGAATATTCTTCTTACACTTAATCTGACATTTCCACTGCCTACAGTGCACACAGTGCTTCCTCTTGAACTGAAATTACAGCTACTTTTACCACTTGCTCCTCACCTGACAACTCAACTGCTTTCTGTGGTTAATAATCAAGTGACATTTCAGCTGTTTTCATCTCTTATTCACCTGCTTACATATCGATGGATACTTTAAACTCTGTCAGGTCTTCGAAGGTGGAGACCTTTGAACAACAGCAACAAAAGAACCCTTCTCCAGCTCTTCTATCTCAACTTCCATTGTTCATGCACAATTTACTTCAACAGCTTTCAATGTATACAGTTGGCTGCACTTCAGGCAACACATTAACCTTCTTTCAGCATCACTTCAGCAGCCACTTCAACAACAACTTCACCTGTTTCAGTATTTGAACCAGCTGTATAGGTCAATTGTGTAAGGACAAAGGTTTGGTACTCCTGTCGCTGGTGGTACACTCCAACGGTCATATACCTCAAAATTTCAAATAAAATGACGGAACTCAAACTGCCTTTATTTGGTGTCTATATGGTACAGGCCTTTAACTCCTTTTGCGCAAAACTCTTGCTCAGCAAATATGGGAAATACTATCAAATTGTTTATTTAATCCAGAATATTAAATATTTAAAAATTAGGCTACCGAATAACATATTAGTTACAAATTTTTGTAAAATGGTTCTGGTTTCTGTAAAATGAACTGAATGATTTAATTGTGGAGAATATAACCGATCTAACAATGTGTAGTCCATATTGACAAAAGTTTAAACATTTATATTTGTGAAGGTGATCTAAGCATCGTAGAACTCGTTCAAGGGGGCGACCTAGTGGGCTTTAAGAGGTTTAATACATCCAAAGAACTTAATTTAAGTTTTACAGTATTTTTGAGAATCATTGGCAATCTTTCTGTTCAGTCGTTTAGGTATGTGGATGTAGATGTGTTTTAACTGCAGAGTTTCAGCAGCGAACGCACATAAATCAAATATACATTCTAGTTCTCCCTCCTTTTCTTGCTTACAGAAAAACCGGCAGATCACAAAGGCCTGAAAATGTTGAGCTTGATGTATGATCCTGACCTTTTTACCCTGGAGTTAGACTTCTGTTCTATTTTTCTGTGTGCTGTTTTAAAACTTAATCACCACCCATTCAGGGCTCACTTTCTCCTCTCATGTTGCGCTCTGTTTCAACCTCATTTCAGTCTCCCCTTCTTCACCTTAATGGTTCTTCAGCTTCCCCCTTTCCTTTGATCCTTTACAACAATTTACTCTTTTTGTACACTTTCCTACCCGCTGGTTCTGAAAGGGGCTTCCAAACTTTTCAAACCAGCACACTCAGGACTTGTGGAGTTGTGCAACTGGCTGCTATCAACATTTACTGCTTGTTAGTGGACTACCGTATCAAACTACCTGTTGATAAAAGAGCATGTGAGTGAGATATGACAGCTACAAACAAACAGGATAATACACACAGTCCCAAAAGGCCTGAACAAAGAGCACTCAACTGGGTTTTTATTTTTGCTCACATTGATCTCTACAGTATGCACGGCTCTTTGACTCTCTGTATCAGTCACCAGATTGAAGATCATAGAAAAGTTAGTGTGATACATGATGACCTAAAAACCCATGTTGAGCTTTAATCTGCAGCTGTTGTGCTGTAGTTACTTATCTTTATTACATGATAAAACCTACAAACTTTTCCCCAAAGCACGGTTTGACTGATATATATGAGTTTTAAAAATCAGCAGTTCCACAATTTGCACCAATGAAACCATCATATTTTTTTTTTACCAAAACCAGTCTGATCTGTGTGTTTGCCTATAGTTAAGGAGGAGAACCCAGAGTTCTGGAGGTCACAGGCCCAGAAGACTTTGCACTCAGTGCTGGACAGGAAACTCAACACCAATGTGGCCAAAAACATCCTGTTTTTCCTTGGAGATGGTAGGTTTATAATTGTGTGCCTAACCCCCCCGCATATTTCAAAGAAAACACGTAGAGGTGGCTAAACCCAGAGAGACTTTGGTCTGTACAGCAGGAACAAACTACAGAGAGACATTTCTACTATGGCAGAGGAAGATATGAGTTATGAGAAGTTATTGAGGCTGAAATGAATAGAAGATGTGTGTGTGCGTGTTTGTTATGTGTGCATCAGGCATGGGAATCACGACCTACACTGCAGCTCGTATCCTCAAGGGTCAGCTGCAGAACCAGACTGGAGAGGAGACAGTGATGACCATGGACACCTTCCCTAATGTCGGACTAGCTAAGGTACACACACATGCACACACACGCACACAAACACACACACACACACAAACACTCAAACATCCACTTAGACTCAAGGATGAACTGATTAGAATTCGATGGTTAAAGGTCAAGGTCAGTGTGACATCACAAATCATGTTTTGTCACTGTGACCTTTTTTAGCCAAGAATTTGGGTGATTTCAGATTTCACACACACGCTGACTGGGACCACATAATGCGTAAACAATAACTAGCACAATACAGGCTTTCCTCTTTCACTGCCTCATTCTGAATTTCGAGTGTCCTCGGAATCACATGTAAACAACGTATTGGAACACGCCTAGCTAATCGTGATCCTGTGAGTGAGTCACCTACAGCTCATAGAGCATCTAAAAATGCCAGGAGAGAACAAAAGCAACACATTTTGTATAGCTATACTCTACAAGAATCCATCTTTACATAGTAATCAAGTACATGTGTAACGTATATTCACTGGAATCACACATATGTATCATCAGTATGGTAATAACTTCTATTTTGCCCAAAAATACACTTCCATGTGTCAGGTTGGCAGAGGCGGTAATTCTAGTTTCTATCATTATTATGGAAGGCACTTTCATCATTGGCAACCTTTGCTACATTATATTAATATGTAGGAATGCATTTTTAATTATTTTTTTAAACCATGCAATGTCCCCTCCACACCGCCGCCCTTGACCGAATTGCTGAAATCTTTCTGTCAGCTGTTACGCTGCCTGCGTCTCTGCTCGTCTTCAAGCAATGCTTTTGAAATAAAAGACCGTAGCAGCCACTCGTCTCCTGTGACTGTCTGTTTCTCTTTTTGTATGAGCTCAGCTGCTACAAATAAGTGGACAGTCTGGACAAACACAACCAAGTCACCTTGAGGTGGCTGTGTGCCATGATAAAGCTACAAAGTCAGAGTTGACACATCAGCGGATGTTCAGTTCACTATCAGCTGTGTGTGTGTGTGTGTGTGTTTGTTTGTGTGTGT